ATGCTAATGTTTACTCACCTTAATGATTTTTTTTTCACGAAAATTTGACAGGGTGATTTTCTCGAGACTGAAAAAATTTACTTTTTTTCACTTTTTTGAAATTCTCTTAGATTTTTTTTTGACGAAGAAGTATTTTGTCTTGGGCTACCTGTGTTGGTCCTGACACAGGTAGCCCAAGACCAACACAGGTAGCCCAAGACAAAATACTTCTTCGTCAAAAAAAAATCTAAGAGAATTTCAAAAAAGTGAAAAAAAGTAAATTTTTTCAGTCTCGAGAAAATCACCCTGTCAAATTTTCGTGAAAAAAAAACATTAAGGTGCGTAAACATTAGCATTAAAGGCGGGAAATTTTTAAACTTTTTTTAAAGTTTTAGTCGGACATGTTTTTGATTTTAAGCCTGTTTAGGATACACATGTTTTTCAACTTTTTTTGACTTGCGTTTTTTTATCAATTTCACGTACTTTTATGAAGCGAAAATTGTTCAAATGATTCTCATTTTTTTTTTACTTCCAATTTCTTTCAAATTTGCAGCCTTCCTGAAAGCTGAGAGTCTTAACTTTTTCAAGCTTACAAATCATACCGATATTTTCAAGGCTAGTTTTTTTGCATTGCAAGGATATGAACCCTTGTCCCGGGATTGAGAGATCACGGTCTTAACCACTAGACCACCGCGTCATTTGTCGAAAGTCTATTGTTCTTTATTTGACCTAACCCTTTTCGAAACGTTTTCCGCCTTTAAACTCGGAGAGCACTGCTTTAACCAGAAAACCACAACCTGCGGTGAAAGGCTACACTTTTTTATATTACTTACTACTTTTTTGGTAGGATCTCAAATAAAATAACAATTTCAATAAGTTCATTTTAATGTTCATGATTAATTTTCTCGTCCAAAGCGCACACAACTTAAAGCATGCCTGTGCCATAGTGCACTATCTTTCCATAATTAGTTATATGCGGCGCAAGTGAAGCTAATGGTTACGGTGCGATTCTTTCGTATTTTTAATGAAGTGAAGTCAAAGTAAAGTACAAAATTTAACCATGCATTTTAAAATAGGTTTAAAAGAAAAAAGTACAAGAATTAAAAATGTATTTCAATGTGTATAACACGTATAATCATGAGGCAACAAGCATGCATTCGTCGAATACGCTAAGAAAAAAGATGTTCATTTCAAAACTGTAATTTCCGCAGTTAACAAACAAACAAACGGCGGTTCTACAATATTACGGCAACAATTCATAATTATTCATTTAAAAGTCCTTCGAAGAAACGATTAAGTCAAGTAGAGAACAATAGCTTATCGACAAACGATGTGGTCGTCAAGCAGTTGTTAAGACGTTGATCTCTTCTGTACAAAGGTTCAAATATTAGATTAGCGTATTTTATATTCGACAAACCTGCTAGCAACACAAGCTAGTGTTTCGACTATTTATACAACAAAGTCTTGAAATAAACAATCAATGTCTATTTAACTGGATATTTGCGATTTCAGATGCCATTTCAGATGTAATGCTTGTTGCCTGATGACTATACTTTTAGCCGGATTCATATTAGAGACGGGAAACTCATCGAAGGCGGGGGACTCGTGTGAATCACACACGGGTTTCTCGTCCGAATTTTCCGGTCTAACTTTCCCGTCCGCTAAATTAAGAGACGGGTAAGTTGGACGGGAATCCCGTCTGCAAGAGAAACTCGTCTTAAACTCGCATTTAGATGGATAAATCAGACGAGTTTCAGAAATACCAGCACGGTCAAGGACGGAACAAGGCTAAGGAAAATAAACACAATTATTATCCTAATGATAATGCATTATACCCAACAATCATACGTATAAATTTTTCACAACCAATTCACATTCACACGGGTTTTTACGGCTTTCTTTTAGCCCTATATTGAAATACATTGTTAATTCTTGTACTTTACTTTGACTTCACTTCATTAAAAATACAAAACAATCGCACCGTAACCATTAGCTTCACTTGGGTCGCATATAACCAACTTATGGAAAGATGGTGCTTTAAGGCGCGGCATACCTGTATGTGATAAGTTTAGCGACAGCACAAATGGTTAATATTAAATTACAAGCTACGAATAAGATAGTAAAGATACAGTGTGTGAAATTTGAGAAAATAAATCATGAAAATTAATTAAAGTGAACTCATTTAAATTGTTCTTTCATTCGAGATCCTACCAAAAGGTATTAAGTTTCGTCAAAGATCCATCCAAACAAGGATTAAGTAAAATAAAAAACTATAGGCTTTCACCACAAGAACTGGTGGTGTTGTGGTGAAGACGGTGATCTGCGAAGTATACAGCCGACGGTTCAAGCCCTGGTTAAACCGAAAAAGAACAACAAGGTAATAAAGTGAGAATTTGCGAGTGTGAGAGGAGTAGTGCGAGAGGGCGAATATGCCCTCGCCTTGGGCGAGGAGTAGACTGAGGGGGGTTCTCTTTCCCCCGGCTTTCCTGACTTTCAATGCAAGCTTTCTTCAAACATTTAATCGTGTTAGGGGATAGTTAGGGGTATGTGAGGATAGGAAAAAGTAGGGATAGATAGGAGTAAATAGGAGGATAAATAGGGGTAAAGAGGTTTAAATGAGTACAAAAAGACTTTAACATTTTATATGCTGTTTTCTCACCTATACCCTCCCCCTGCCCCGGGAGCCGAGGCCGCCCAATTATTACTAAGTCTTTTTGTACTCATATACCTCTCATTCACCCTATCTATCCCCTGATTTCCCTAAAGATTAACTTTGATTCGCAAAGATTACTCGAGTACAAACCTACCCTGAGCAACATTCCTACCATTTTTTTTTATTTTCTTTTTATTTTTCTTTCCACCCCCATGAGAAACATACCATACCGTTCTTGGTACCCAGATCTTGTACTTGACAGTCCACGACTTTACCACAAGGCTAACTGGTGATTGTTGGAAACCTACACCAACTTATTCTCCATAACCTTACTATGTAATATTAATAACTAAAATTTCCATCTAAAACGAGATCCGTACCTTCGACAGTGGACATATGAGACCAACATCTTGACCACTAGACTACAAGATCTTTTGCTGAAATGCTATGGTTATTTAATTGACTTTATCCTTTTCACGAAGTTCACAATGAAAAACCGTTGTAATAGGATTGGAGTTATCAATATCCTCTAAACACATGCCAGAACAAAAGTTCCTCAACAGAATTCTGCCAAAAGAGTAGGTACCGATACTCGGTGTGCGCCTGTGGGGTATGAGTTGTCTGCTTAGTATATACGACATTGCTAAATGTGGTTATTGTGGGATTATTACTCGTTTACTGCGACTTCGCGGGGTTTATAAATACTTAATTTCACTTTTTCTCGCTTTGCAATGTCGTTTAAGTACGTTCCATAAACGTTAAGCGTCCGTTTTCACTCACTGCATTTACTGCAACCTAAAACTGGTCAATTTTTCAACAAATGAAGTGAATTAAGGACATTTAAAATTTTCTTGACATCATACAATAGTCCACACAGTGCACGAATGGCCACGTGCATACATCATGTGCGTAGAGAATTAAAGACAGTACACTTACATGCACGACGCATGTCTGTAAGTTGCAATTAGCATAATAAAAAAAGGCCCAGATAACGTTTCGAACCATGGTCATCTAGATTGCGAGAACGTTGTCTTCACCACTAGACCACCAGCGCTTGACGTTCAAGGCTACGTTTATCTCAATCCTCTTTTTGGGTGAATAATGAAAATCATTCTTCCGAGGATTCGAAATACCGACTTCAATGTTGCGAGACCATTGCCTTCATCACTAGACCAAAAGAGACCTAATGATTCACAGGTTCTTTTTTTTATCTTACCTAAATCTATTCTTTCGGGTTGTAATGATAATTTAACTTCTATACTTTTTAAAGTACGATGTGCTTCTGAATTTCGCGATCGAACATTTAGGTTCGCAAGGCATCTAAATGCGAATATGAACTGTATTGTTTATAATTTTCTTGTATGATTGCATGGCGACTTTAGTAATTATAATAACTTGTAGGTACACCACGTAAGTATTAAATACTGCAAAGCTTTCGGTCCGTTAACCCGGACCTTCATCAGTGCAATTACTTGAATACACGTTTGCGCGTCACTTAAATATCATGTTAGTCGTGATTAGTTTGCTCTAATTAAACCGTTTCATTTAATTAAGTTCTAATCAATGCGCGCGCCCTAGACAAGTATTTGACTAAGAGACACCGAAAAGAGCACGCCACGTACTATTAAGAGCAAACTAATCACGACTAACATGATATTTAAGTGACGCGCAAACGTGTATTCAAGTAATTGCACTGATGAAGGTCCGGGTTAACGGACCGAAAGCTTTGCAGTATTTAATACTTACGTGGTGTACCTACAAGTTATTATAATGTATTGTTTATGTTCAGAAGCTCTATATTAAAGACTGGCACGTGCGCCGGAGTTAACGCCAGAACAGGCGTCTTGTTTCTAGACAAATTACAACGGAAAATTTGCTAGCATTAAACAGTGCGAACTCGTTTGGTAAAACTAAAAGCGACAACAATTGTTAACAAATCTTTTTCATTCCAAAAAATATTAGTTAGTTTAAATAAATTTACATCGATTTATAAATCATACATTTTCGAATCAATCATTTTAACATGTCCCATTTACTTGTTTGAAAACTTTGAATTACTGTGGTAACCCATGGACAAAGAATAATACGGCTGCAAACTGCATTTGTGTAGAAAGATTATAAAATGAAAGAAAAATGACTCGCCATTTCAAATTAAACAACGTTCGCAACTCAATATAAAGCCCCTTTAAACACCTCTTGAACACCCTTAGAATGATTTGTAAATTCAAGAGCGCTTTTTTACGAATAACTCAAAACTCATTGGGTTTACATGATTTTCTTGATATGTTTTGAATTTCCGGCAAATATCTATATCAACAACAGCTTTGTCTAAGCGCTAACAGCAATTAATAGAAAGTAAACGGCGAACTAATATGTTTAAATACAAAATTTATATGCTTGATTTAAACGAAAGTAGCTTCTAGTTACATTAACTGCTGAATTTAGACTGCTTTAAACAGCTATCGCATGAAAGACCTATCTATCGCATTTCTAACTTGTCCAATATACGGCAATAGTTTAATTTTCAACCAGGAAATAGTTCCAAGTAATCAATCCCAAATCAAGGCCAAAGGCCATCAACGACAAGGGCATACTTTATGTTTCTTTTCTTCTTGCAAAGTAAGCTTGGGAGTTTCTAAAAATAAATATAATACAATCGACATCTATTCTCAGAAATCCAAGTTTAATACATATGAATGCGAGTTTAATGATTTGCAGAATGCTTTCAACCTTTCGGTTTGTTTTCGACTGGTTTTTCCAAACACGCCTTCGCGACAGCATAAAATAGTTCGGCTAGGAAGGAAATAAATAAAAATAATTGACTTTTTTAGAAGTTATTGCCATGGGATTTTGGAAACTTATGGTATCTAAAACCATGGTTAATAAAACTCACCAACATTTTCACCGTTTAAACTAGAAGTTTCGAAAACTTTCGCGTGGATTTCTAAGAAAGATGAATAAATTGTTACAACTTTGGTCTACAGTATGCTTTTCTTAAACAATGTTTTCGTGCTAGTGTTTGGTTTAAATCTTCAAAATAAATCACCTACCATCTGCATAATCTGTTGTGGTATGATAATCAACCTGCCTCGCCTTTTTGTCTTTTTTAACTAAATCTAATTTTGTTCCACATAAAAATATTTCACAGTTCTGAAAAAGATTCAACATCTAGTTTATTGTATAATCTCTTCAGTAATTCACTGGATATATTTTGTACCAGCAAATGTCATGTTTCGAACCTCCTCATGTGTGTGCAGTTCGTTAACCCAGAACTTCACTTTACTGAAGCTACTTCCATCCGTAAGATCTGTAGGGAAATTGATTTGAGAGTAAAGATAGAATCGATTTAGCAAATACATGAATACAATCCACTATACTTGTACTTGAAATATTTACCGTAACAAATTATTGCAGCCATGGCTCCTCTATAGTAAATCCGGCTCATCGCTTCATACCGTTCTGATCCTGCTGTATCCTTTATAATTTAAATTACTGCCTGTTTTTAAAAGTCCATTTTAAATAACTTGTAACCCCTGGACCCCATCTATGCCACCCTGTGTATGGGCTTTATCTTAACCTACCATGTCATCTTTCCCTCTCTGAAAAAAGCTGAGTACTGAAATTAAAGTAACCCCAACTTGGCGTTATCTTAAGACTGTTCCATGTGAAAACCCAAGAGCTGTTATTAGATATTAATTTACCCAAATTCCTAATATGAGTGTTTGGTCGTTGATTACTTCTCTTTTTGCCCCAAAAGCTGCACCTATCGTCTATGAAAATAATATGAAATGATGGCAGAATAAGACGGATTGATGTGTGTTAAGAGAAATATTGATACAAGCGTGGAAAGGTGCGGTATAAGAGGTCCTTCAGGTACATTTTAATTTAATGGATTGATTAAATTAATTAAAAATTCTGATTACACTACCTTTTAAATAGCAGTTCATTGGTTATACAAAAGGCATATAAAATCATCTGGCATTATAGACAGAATATAGTACAGAATATAGTACAGTATATATTAGGTACATTCAGAGCCATTTCACACTAGTAAAGTTGAGGTGAATATTATGGCAGAATGAGTAGTTGATTGGCCACAAATCTTAATGATCATAATGGTAGTTATTGAGCTAATTTGGGGAATCAATATCCTTATTAATTTTTTATTATACATATAATAAGGGCACTTGCCATTTCATCTTACATCATATACAAAAAAGTCACTAAAGATTAAACCTCAGGCGCGTCTGATCCAAACGATATACCTACATTTTGATAAGGAATATCCTTATTAAATCTGTCATGAAGGTATCTCTCAACGAGACAAGTTTTACCACTGTATTCTTTGCCAAGTAACACAACCTTTGCATCGACCTTGTTTGCCATGGAAAAACGCGCGATTGCCGATAGAAATATACAGTTTGAAATATTAACACAAGCCCTCTGTAAATATGGGCTTAATAAATCCTCAAATTGACTAGTTATGCTGAAAAAAAACTAGCGTTTGACGATGTCCGAGTGCTGTTCATGCACCATTAATCAGCAATTTTACACATCACGTTGAGGACGTTTTATGTATCCAAAGTTCCTCAGGCAAAATCCGGGCTTTGAAGAGCTGTCGATTCATCCACAAAGCAGATTTTCCAAATTTAGCGTCGAAAATGTAAACAATTTTCAAAGAATTCCCAAACAAAACCGAAAGTTGCTTCAACAAATTGTGTTTGTATACAAAGGACATTTACCGTAGGGCAAAGCACCAAAATGTCGTATGAAGCCATCAAAGTTCCGGTGTATGTCTTGTCAAAAATATGAGTTTAAAATTCCTAAAATGACTGAGAAATATATATTAAAAAGTCTAAAGATGATTTCGCTGTATTTTGTACATTTTTGCTCAAAATGATATCATTTTCAGGTCAATTTTATCCCGCGGGGAAAGTATTATAGCGGCACTTTATACCCTACGCAAGGTTCCTATGTTTCCATGCTGACTCTGCTGGAATCTGGAGGAACGATTCGATTCGAATTGTTTAACAGACGATCGACAGCTCAAAATGTCAATTCCAGCTCAATTCTCGCTGGCATTACAATGAATTCAGACGCGAGCTTTACCGTAGTGGATCGTGAACTAATTGCACCAGTAACCGCTCTGGAATTTGACGAAAAAGGGAACCTTTTTGTCGGTACGTGTTTCGATTTCGTCTGTAAACACTGGGAATTGTTACATTTGACGGTCAAAGGTCATTATGCATTTCTTCGAAAATCGCCTCGCTCCCTGTTTAGCTGAAGGTCACACCGTCACATCATAATGTTCCATGAATTTCGACCCCCTAAAAGCACCACTATTCAAGCTAACATTCCTGAATTCTGGTGAAAGCCTTTTTATAGGCCATTTTTTTCGACTGAATCCCATTTCGTTGGAAGCACGTGTTTGCAATTCTAAAATTTTACTTAGAACACACTACATATATAGCGTGTAATAGAATATAAATAGCATGTCATAGAATATAAATGGTTTAGCAACTGGGTTATCAGAATTGACAAAGCTTATTACAGCTAAACACGATTTAAGATGCATTTTAAAACCTCAACACAATGAAATTACCAGCTCAAATACCTGCATAACTACTGTTTAGGTGAAGGACCTTATCTCAAAATATATGATGCTACCATTGGAGAACTGGTTACAAAAGAGAGAATATTTGAAAGCCAAAGGATACATTCAATAAAACGTAAGCACGAACTGTAAGTCCCATCATATTTTTGATAAATATTTGAACATTTGATCAGATGTGGATATAAAGATAAATTTTGATAAGATCAAGCTTAAATGAACTATGAAGATTACTACATCTTTGTCCTTTGACATATCAATTTTACTAGTAAGAAGTCCATTTTGTGTCTAGTTTGATGTTTTTCATTAGACAATGCTTCTTCCCCTTAATTAGACCAATGACAGTAATTAGACAATTACTAAACCTGTAATTTGAACACACCCAAATGACCTCTAATTATAACACATCATGATTATTTATTACTACCAATTTATTATTACCTAATTTGAGTAGACCAATCTTTTCTCTAATTAGAACACACCATGTCCATGTACCTCCAAGTAGAACACAAATTGACTCCTATTTATTGTATGTCATTTATATCCATGTATTAGGAATCTCATTCTTCTTTTCTCTCCAATTAAACCACACCCTTAATCTCTAATTTAATCTCTATGATGGTTTAAACCACCATCATCAAACTATAATGATTCTATACATTGACCTATTCATACCAGCCCTTCTATATCCAAATTTCATAAGCCTATATACGTAATGAAAAATTAAATTCTCCGTCACTGCTAGTTTAATCACATATTTTTACAGTCTATCATTCAGACACACTCGGAACCAGGATTGTCATTTGCGGAGGACGGATTGTGAGGGTTCTGGACAGGCGAAATAGTGGCTCAACCAGGTTCAATATTTTTACAAATCTTAAATCTGTCCTAGAACATTTCTGATGCTTTGTTGTGTTTTAGCAAAGTCGAAACAATTCACAAAGAGACATTTAATGACTGGATTTGGGATGTTTGCTTACTGCAGGAGACAACGACTGAGGAATCCAATCGCATTGCTGTAGTTACAGGTCATAATGCTGTCTGGATATATGATTTTAACGAAGCCAAAAAGTGGTTGATATCTCAATGCGAGGAACAATGTATTTTGTATCCTTTTGAATTAATTCAGTGCGAATATACTCTTGGATATAGAAAACTGACGTCTGTAATTATGCCTACAGTCATTGTCCAAATGTCTTCAAATTTTCATGGAGTTTGACCATAAAACATGAGATTTTTTTCCATAATGGCCATCAACCGCGTGCAGATATTGTGCGAGATTCATCGGTCGAACGTTGAAGCAGATGTGGTTGGCGTGTGGAACAGTTTTTAACGAAGTTTTACTATGGAAAGTTACGGATAAGTCGCAATGTTCTTGCGATGGCAAGGTGCTTGTTAAAAAGCGACTGACAGGCCACGATGGCGTGATATTCTCGGTGAGGTACAGCGAGGATCGTGGATTGCTGTGTTCGGTGTCAGATGACAGAAGCATACAAGTTTGGCGGGCTGTCTTCGCACCTGATTATTCAGATGTTACAGTAAGTTACAGTCTAATGATGATCTTCAAAACCCTGCTCGATCAAGAAAGATTGTTTAGAACACATTTGTAAGACGCTGCAGGGGCGTGGCCGGTCCGAAATGAATGGGTGCACCCCTCGAATGCACAAGTGAGACGCGGTGGTCCCCATCCCTTCCGATTCCCCTGTGGCTACAGAAAAAATTTCCTGTCTCAATCTTTCTTATTTTGCCTTAGTTTCAAGCAGGTAAATTAGAGGGAACTTCGCCTACTGACCAATGTCTTTATACACGCGCAATATTCAGGTATCGGCCAAGCCATTGTTAACTCTTTATGGCCACAAAGCGAGGGTCTGGGACTGTCTCATCTTGAAGAACCATATTGTTAGCATTGGAGAAGACTCAATGTATTTTGTTGTGGAATTCTGATGGAAAAATAATTCGCTCGTGGAAAGGGCATATCGGTAATGTCGTGTTTTAATGTAAATCCTTTAAATCTCCTACAGTGCCTAATTTTCTCCTACGTTAGCCAACCTTAACCTACTTTAGCCTACCTTTACCTACTTTAGCCTACTTTAGCCTACCTTAGCATGCCCCACTTGGACTGTATTTCGCTACCAAAGGGAATATCATTCAATAGTGAGTCTTCCTACCTACCTACCTCTTCCTATGACAGGGAAAAGTATTTGGTCTTTGGCTTGTACAACGGACGAACAAACGATTGCAACGGGTGGTGGAGATGGCGCCATTAGGCTTTGGATGCTTGAGAATGACGTGGAAAATACGAGGAAAGAACATCATTTCGTTTCGAGCATCCCACAGCAACAAGAGATGACCACCTCTCAAACGAAAGAGGAAACTCCTCGATTGATCGGCTTACTTCAAGATGCCAGTGTCCTAATCATGACAGATCAAGGGTTAGTGTATTTACAATTGGTAATATATTGACTTGAAGAAGGGATCCTAATCCTTTCTTGATCCTGATCGATCCTAGCTGATCTCCTCTTGATCCTAATTGATCCTACCTGCAACCGTGCATAAACATACTACCCACTGTTTTCATTTTTTTAGGAACCTTTACAACTTCACGTGGAAACACGGTGGTACTTTACAATCTCCGGGAATATGGAGCCTCATTCATCATGAGCCAGCGTACGCGTCTTACAGCATCATGGCGCTGTCTGATTGTCGAACGATCGTAGCTCTTGGCAACCTCAATGGCAGTATCAAACTTATTTCTTTAACTGGTAGGCAGCGTTTAATATTGGTTAAACTTCCTCCTCTCTCTATATCGACACATGCACATAATGTATCGAGACCGATTTTAGTTAGGCACATGGGGTACATTTTTTAATTCTTTGAAAGAAATCGAAAAAGATCAGTTTTATGGAAATTCTGAAGAAATCGAAAAAGATCAGTTTTGTGAAGATTCTGAATGAACGTTTTCGAGATCTTTTAAAAGGAAGAAAATCGCTCATAACGTCGTTGGACATCACGTTGAATATTTCTTTACTCTTTTCTACACCCAGAACTTTCGTGGTGTGCCCTCGAGAGAAAACCCTACACTGACAAAGTTCTAAGTCTTCACTGGATCAAAGACGAACGAGGCGAGGGTAATTTTCATCTGTTCTCGTGCGGACCAGAAGGTTTGGTTATTTGGTGGTCAGTCGAGGGTCGAGGGAAGAGTAAAGAATTTCACTGCGAAGTGAAGGCAAGATTCCGTTTACCGTATTGTCGTCAGAGATGGCCAAACTCTGTGTTTTTGGTCGACGGAGATTCCCTCTGCTCGACGTTTCTTCTCTGTGGTGATCGACGAGGGTCGTTGCATGTTTTTAAAGCGACGAATGAAAACGAGGTGAGTGTTAAAACGTTGATAGATTCCGTGGATCTAGAAACGATCAATATATTTATAAGCAAGTGGTCGTATTGGTTGTTCAAGCAAAGTAGGGGATTTCAAATCTAAACCTGATAAAGTTAGACAGATATGTCACCTGGGCTAAAGAACAGTTCTGAACTTATGAGGTTGCAAGATCTTTTATTTGTATTGTTTTTCGTTCAGGCAACGGATCCAAAACAGTCCTTGATTGGTATCCACGGTCGGAATGGTGTGACATCGATATGCAGGAATTCTGGGTACATTTATACCACCGGGAGAGATGGCTGTATAAGACAGTATAGATTGTCTGAGGGAGAACTGGAACTACTCGACAAGAGAAAGGTTTGAGAATATAGTATTCATTTAATTTATGCAATATACGCACTGATCGCAAAATGTAAACTGGATGGAGAACGTAATTTTTGTTTACTATTTTTTTCCAAAGACGGATTTTACCTTTACCTAAACTGTCTATATTTATCCTGAATTGCCACGATCATATCGGTGCTTTTTTGACGTAGGTTTACAAGGGGATGGAATGGATTGATAGGGTTAATTTCACGCCCGAGGGTGAAGTGTTGGTCTATGGATTTCACACGGTAAGCTGTCTTAGTCTCGGTTTACGCTGTCGATATTTGAGTTTATCACTGATAAATTCTATGACTTATACGATTGGTAGCAGTCTTGATTGATAAAACGTGCTTTCTTTGATCCAGGTGGATTTTATTATCTGGAGCATGACTCGAAATGAGGTCTTGTTTCGTATTCCTTGTGGTGGCGGTCATCGCAACTGGGATATTTCCTCTACCACGGTATAAACTTACGCAATATATCTACTCCAACATTTACTCGCTTCAGGTCTGTTTTAGAAATGATGTAACGTTTACAGTTTAATATCTGATTTGGAAACGTTTTCAGATCAGAGGTCATGCTCCATTTAGGATTACTACTGACTAGGATTCTACGGTCCTTTCTCATCCAATTCAAGCCATGTTTACGAGCTGCGTACAATTAAAGAAGCACGTATAACTATAAGATTTACATCTGCTTGTTCATTTAGACAAATCATGATCTGGTATTCACGTATCTCAAACAGTCCTCGATAAACTTGCATATCTTCTCTGCAATTCAGAAACAACAGCGTTCATCCATTATTCAGGTACGTCTCGCTGTAACCGCATACGTGTCTGACATCACTTGTTTTCAGCCGTCCCGTCGATGCCGCAGGTCATAGCGAGAAGCAAGCTTTACTATCATTATTTACTTGTATTATTTAACATTATTTATGTGTTTTAGGAAAGTTTTCATGGACGTGAAACCAACTGTGTTCATTTTATCAGACCTCTACAAAAAACCAGCGAAGGTGAGCCTGTATTAATACGTCTTTCATTTGCCAGAAATAACAAGGGATAGGTTTGTTGCTATGGAATTTCGCCTTGAGTGAAAATCTGATCTAGAATCATCTCAGCAATGAACTCAGACATATTCCACATTCAAGGCTTTTCAAGTTTCGTTTTGGAAGCTGACTTAGGAAGCTGACTTGAAATTTTTGCGATCTTCACCATGTAATTTGTTTATTTATTCTAAGCTTTCGGTCCTTGAGCCCGGGCCATCAGAGAACTTTTAAAAACAGATTTGTTAGTCCTTGTCTTTTCTGTGGCTAACAAACAAGTGCATTTTTTTTTCTAGAAATTCAGTTAAGCTCTCTTTTAGTAACTGGTAGTGAAGATACCACGATTAACATCATGTCCTGTATCCTTGGTTATTTACGTTTTCAGAATGAAATACATTTTCACAAGTGATACGTATGTTTCTATATTTCCAAAATCCCTTGTCGCCCTTAACAGCTATATACTAAGACAATCCCCAGGAAATCAATCGACAAAGATTCCGTAAGGTTGCATCTTGCGAGGGTCATATCTCAAGCGTCCGTTGCTTGGCTTATATTGAACTAAATCCTCAAGACTCTGAAGAAACGCCTTCTCCTAAACACCTGATATTCTCTGGTGGTAGCAGAGCCTCCATAAAATGCTGGACGTTGAATGCGGACAGTATTCTGAGCGACAAAAAAAGCGACAGCTCTTCGAAAGAAGGGGCATCTTTGCACTCTAGTTGTACGCTTTTTGCAGAGCTGAGAACTCTCTCACGTAGGTCACGAAAGAAGAAACGACTCCGCCACGATGTTGATGTCGAGGATTTCTCGTGTGATGTTCGTATCATGTCGCTCAGTATACTTTCACTTGCTGAAATTCTAACTTATCCAGGTGGAAGTTTAATGGATATCCGCCCGAATGCTGTTGGAGTAATTGCTGCTTGCTCGGACGGATATCTTAGGTAGGATTAATTGATTGATCTATGGTCCAGTTCGCCGGAAAACGACTAATTCGACCATGGTCGAGTTCGTCGGAAAACGACTAATTCGACCATGGTCGAGTTCGCCGGAAAACGACTAATTCGACCATGGTCGAGTTCGTCGGAAAACGACTAATTCGACCATGGTCGAGTTCGCCGGAAAACGACTAACTCGACCATGGTCGAGTTCGCCGGAAAACGACTAACTCGACCATGGTCGAGTTGCCGGAAAACGACTAATTCGACCATGTCGAGTTCGCCGGAAAACGACTAACTCGACCATGGTCGAGTCGCCGGAAAACGACTAATTCGACCATGGTCGAGTTTGCCGGAAAACGACTAATTCGACCATGGTCGAGTTTGCCGGAAAACGACTAATTCGACCATGGTCAAGTTCCCCGGAAAACGACTAACTCGACCCTGGTCCAGTTTGCCGGAAAACAACTAATTCGACCATGGTCGAGTTTGCCGGAAAACGACTAATTCGACCATGGTCGAGTTCGCCGGAAAACGACTAATTCGACCATGGTCGATTTCGCCGGAAAACGACTAATTCGACCATGGTCGAGTTCGCCGGAAAACGACTAACTCGACCATGGTCGAGGTCGCCGGAAAACGACTAATTCGACCATGGTCGAGTTCGCCGGAAAACGACCAATTCGACCATGGTCGAGTTTGCCGGAAAACGACTAACTCGACCATGGTCGAGGTCGCCGGAAAACGACTAACTCGACCATGGTAGATTTAGCCGGAAAACGACTAATTCGACCATGGTCGAGTTCGCCGGAAAACGACTAATTCGACCATGGTCGAGTTCGCCGGAAAACGCTAACTCGACATGGTCGAGGTCGCCGGAAAACGACTAATTCGACCATGGTCGAGGTCGCCGGAAAACGACTAATTCGACCATGGTCGAGTTCGCCGGAAAACGACTAACTCGACCATGGTCGAGGTTGCCGGAAAACGACTAATTCGACCATGGTCGAGGTCGCCGGAAAACGACTAATTCGATCATGGTCGAGTTCGTCAGAAAACGACTAATTCGACCATGGTCGAGTTTGCCGGAAAACGACTAACTCGACCATGGTCGAGTTCGCCGGAAAACGACTAATTCGACCATGGTCAAGTTCCCCGGAAAACGACTAACTCGACCATGGTCGAGTTTGCCCGAAAACGACTAACTCGACCATGGTCGAGTTTGCCGGAAAACGACTAACTCGACCATGGTAGATTTAGCCGGAAAACGACTAATTCGACCATGGTCGAGTTCGCCGGAAAACGACTAACTCGACCATGGTAGATTTAGCCGGAAAACGACTAATTCGACCATGGTCGAGTTCGCCGGAAAACGACTAATTCGACCATGGTCGAGTTCGCCGGAAAACGACTAACTCGACCATGGTCAAGTTCCCCGGAAAACGACTAACTCGACCATGGTCGAGTTTGCCCGAAAACGACTAACTCGACCATGGTCGAGTTTGCCGGAAAACGACTAACTCGACCCTGGTCCAGTTTGCCGGAAAACAACTAATTCGACCATGGTAGATTTAGCCGGAAAACGACTAACTCGACCCTGGTCCAGTTTGCCGGAAAACGACTAATTCGACCATGGTCGAGTTCGCCGGAAAACGACTAACTCGACCATGGTAGATTTAGCCGGAAAACGACTAATTCGACCATGGTCGAGTTCGCCGGAAAACGACTAATTCGACCATGGTCGAGTTCGCCGGAAAACGACTAACTCGACCATGGTCGAGTTCGCCGGAAAACGACTAATTCGACCATGGTCGAGTTCGCCGGAAAACGACTAACTCGACCATGGTCGAGTTCGCCGGAAAACGACTAATTCGACCATGGTCGAGTTCGCCGGAAAACGACTAATTCGACTATGGTCGAGTTCATCGCTATTATTGATTGATTATGACCGATCTATAGGATTGTTATATTAGGTGGGATTTTTGGGTCACATATTATAGCATTGCTTTACACAATATTTTCATTCATTTTCTTTCAGATTTTATTTGTTTGACTATAAACTAAAAACCTTCACGAACATCGGTCGAGGAAAGTGCAACGAAAGATGTTTACTTCGTACAGGACATTTTAACCACATCGAATCTGCGAAAACTCACGTTGTTGTTTACGCGTCAGACACGGCTGGGTACATCAGCTTCTGGGATATCACGCATATGTACGTTGAGCATTGTGCTCGTTTGTACAAAAATACTGATGATTTAGATGCAATAGATGAGCAGCTTTGTAAGTTAGACATGGAAGATGATGGCCCTGTCTTGGATGACGATGATTTCCAAACAGGAAGTGCTGTTAAGTGTTCGAACGACCGAATTATGCTTAGTTCAAAAAACGATCATATAAGAAGACCATTTTGTTCTTATAAAATCCATCAGTCCGGGGTGAATTCTATCAGCTTACTAAGAAAAAGTAAGAGTTGTTTTACTTCGTACACAACGAAGCTGAGTAATCCTACTATTATTTGTTCTGATAAAGAATATCTTCTCTGTCTTAGCTCAAAATGGTGGCCACATGATTCGTTGTATTGCATTAAGTTGAACATTTTTTGTTTTTGAGACGACGGGAGTTTTGTGCTGTGCAGCGGCGGTGATGACGGCGCTGTTGTATTTACTACTTTCAAAATTCATGGATCAAACGAAGAAGTAGAACTGCGATGTTGGAACATGGTTTCAATTCCCGATGCGCACACGTCTGCCGTTACTGGTAAGCTTTTTTTGACACTAGCACCAGCTTGCGCAGACCGACAATGCAAAAATATTCGCAGCAAATTATCAATTCGTTCACAAGAAATCAAATCGTATGCATTTTTGAGGTGTGAAACTCTTGGACAGCGAGACAGCTGTTTCTACTTCCGTCGATCAGAGAATGAAATTGTGGAGAATGGATTGGAGTGATGAGGTATAGGAATTTGTTCAAAATTTTTTAAAAATATGTGTAGCCTACCTTGGGCCCCCTTTTTGGCTTTTTCCTGATCTGTTTAATATTTCTGTTTCAGGGAACAAAGTTGTGTGCGGTCAATTTAATTGATATTTTCTGGCTCGATGTAGTCGACATTCAAGACATAGACGTGCTGCGGAACAAGTTAGTATAAATGAAGTATTTATCGATCAAAACTTTTCATGATATTATTCAGAATTTAGCCTGTTCTAGAATGTCGGTAAAAATGCACGAAATTCACAAATACATAAGGCCTAAAATGAATGGAGTTTAAAATAGGCTTTCATAAACAAATATGGGCGATTTTGGACGCGTTTTTGACCACAGGGATGTTTTTTAAACAGTTTCTTGCTTCTTTTACGTAGCAATGGAACATACAGCATCGCAGCCTGTGGCGTAGGTTTACAAATGCTGACTTTGAAATCCCTTTGTCCGTAATTCCCGACCTAAATTCTGACAGAAGGAAATATTTTTCGTTGGGTTCGCCAAGAATGACAGCCCGTTATGCATTGGCCTCGACAACTCATCAAAGAAAGAATATTGATGTTCAAGTGATGGAAAAGTTTTAAAGCATTTGGAATTTTTTTGACCGAGGAAAATGGTTTTTGGTTTAGATTTTTTGTTGCTAATACTGCGGTATATACATCTCGAAAATGTATATAGATCAGTGTAACAAAGAGTTACGATTTTATCAAAATTTATCCCATTTCTAACCCTGGAGACTGCGCACGAGTCCTTCGATGTTAGCCAATCAACATCGTCTTAGCGGCAAGCAGAGCTCGTTTCAGCCAATAGCTTTATTTTATTTCATTTCAATTTTTTAAATTTTTTTTTACATGACGTGTCGTGATTAATTACCTAAGATTGCTGGCTCTTAAGTTTGTTTACTTCCTGATTCAAGATGGCGGCTGTTTCAAGCGTGAAGATTTTGCGTAGCAAATTTAGCGGCTGTCTCCTTGGGGCGCTGTTTGGCGATGCGTTGGGGGCAGAGTTTGAAGGCTACTATTGGATGTCACCCGTACCCGAGTGGGCATTTGAAGTTTTTTCTGAAGAAAAGCTTTTGAACTTTCGGGAAATGGATAAACCCCGTTTCAAATTCACTGATGATTCAGCCATGATGATGGCCTTGTGTCGCTCCTTGCTGTCCGAAAAGACGCTTAACATCAAGAAACTAGCTCGGGAATACACCGAGACGTTTTATCGTGAGCCATATCGTGGTTACGGAGGTGGAGTGAGAAGTGTTTTTCGCAGATTACGAGATGAAACGTTCAAGGATGTCACCCTGCCAGCACGAGAGCAATTTGACGGAAGTGGCTCGTATGGCAACGGAGCTGCAATGAGAGTCGCTCCTATCGCTTTGTTCAACCACGATAACCTCGAGGAGCTTAAGAAAGTAAGTTTAGCTTAAATCCAGGCAAATTCATACTCTAGAATAACTAGTTATTTGTGGTCAGCTTTTTTAGTGAATTTTCCTTTAACATTTCATATCAATCATACCTTATTCATGGAGGGGTGTTCTTTAGTTATTCCAGGAATTAACGTCTTGATGTCTGCCAAATTTTCAGAACATATTCTCGCTCAAATCATTTCTAGAATTCCGCCCAAAATGCTCTGGTAACGCACGCGCATGCGCACGGCATTAACGGTGCGGTTCTTCAAGCAATGGCGGTTTACGAATCATTGCAAACACCGCCAGGAACTCTTGATGTTGAAGGATACATCGACAAAATGATCGCTGCTGCTGAGGAGTTGGAGAGGGTCGACGTGGAGAGTGTCGAGGTGGAGAATGTCGAGGTGGAAAATGTCGAGTTGAATGAACCAGCAGAAAAGTAAGCAAACAACTCCCTCTCCCCACGAAACTTAGACATACGATATGTTGAGAGAAAGAATTATTCTCTCCACTACCCCAAACCCCCCCCCCTTCCTTCAGGTCACGAATCCTACGTCATACCACATACCCACCCCAGGTTACCCTTACCTTTATTGCTTTTAGAAAATAAATTCCAATTTAAAAAATAAAGGTGTTTTTGATTCACTGTTTTTAGCGATCTTCGGCGATTGTATAGATCCAGTGCCTTTTAAAACCATTTCAAATAGAACCATTAAAATACGTTAAATCTTCCCTTCGCAGTTCCAACATTTGCGATGCTTTTTCTCGGAGGCTTTTGTATTGTTTCACACTCGGAAACAGTCGGTAAGCTATTGTGTCTAGATCGCTTTCGCGTTTCTATGAATATAATCTGATGTTATATTATCAGATCGAACGATGAAGGTCGAACACCCGACGAGGAACAACGGAGATATGACATATACATAAGCCCCAAGTCGTATGTAGATCAGTTTCGAAATATCAAAGAAATGTTAGTGGGATCCAAAGGCAACCCAAGCACTCGACAAGTCATTAATACCTTGGGCACTGGCATAAAGGCCATCGAGGCAGTTCCAGCTGCGATATTTTCTTTTCTGTACAAATCTGATGCCTGTGTAAAAGATGTCCTGTTCTACGCCATGTCTCTGGGTGGCGACACTGACACCATTGCATGTATGGCGGGCGCAATCGCCGGAGCGTACTGGGGCCGAGAAAATATCCCGGAGGATTGGTACCCAGTCACAGAGGGGGTGGAAAAGATGACCCAGTATGCCGATGAACTTTACGAGTTGCGTGTTCCGCAAAGCACTGGTTAAAAAGACTACAGAATAAATGAAGTCCTTTCAAAGATCTTTTAGACGCTGATTGTAGAGGGCCAAAGTGTTTAGTGACTGAGTTTTTATCGGTCAAAGAGATGCGATGCAATAGAATTTTATTTAAGGAACATAGAAACCTATAGTATGGTGTCCGTTTTTCCGCTAATAATGCAACACACGACGCAACGCTTTTTATACAATAATGAAAATGTAATATAGTACAAAATCAGTAGTTGATAGTTGTTCGAAGATTTTCATAAAAATCTTGTATAATAACTAACATAGACGATGTGAAATTCTTTTTTTAATTGAAACCAGTCTTCGAGCCGTCATTTGAACGGTGTTTCAAGAAGGCATCTGGGCTATAGCTGTTTCTCAGTATAAAAAAGTTATGGAAATGTAATGATATATAGTTTAACTTATAAAAATGTTTGAAAATACAAGAAAATAAAGTAACAAAGGTCTGGCAATGGTTGAACTGCATACAGCGACATATTCTTGCCAATTTTGGTCAATCGGTCGAAGAGATGCGATGCAATAGAATTTTATTTAAGGAACATGGAAACCTAATTATGATGTCCGTTTTTCCGCTCCTCAAAGGAATGCCTTTGGCGAGCAGGAACGCCTTCATTTAACACCTTGAAGCGCGCCAAGGCCCCAAAACATCCGCTGCTTGAGAGTGGTACCCACACAAGCTCACCATATGGCAAAAAGAAACGATATGCGTGGTAAAACTCCAGAATATTTTTCGTTAAAACACAAATCTCTTCGATGTGCTTCGGAGCAGTGCGAAAGCTTCGCACGGACAAAGATGTCCGAAACGTGACGAATGGCAGATGGTGTTTTTGTATGCACTCTTTGAGTTTATAAAATTGACAGGAAATTGAAAATCAACAAGTCAACCTTTGTAATAAGCACAAATAGCTTCGCGTGGGTTCGTCGATGTAAATTAACGTTTGCATTAATAGACTTGAAGTATTCAAATGTATTTTTTGCATATTTTACTAAACACCTACTTCGAGAAAGAAAGAATTAAACATTGATGTCAGAGTCAATTTCAAATATTATGTTACACAAAGCAGAAGTCTTTCTACGCCTACAGTATATCTTGTCGAATGTCGAAGAGAAAGATTTCATAGCTTGAATTAATGTTCGTCAACTCAACTCTAACCAGGATTTATTTCATGATAAATATGGCAACTTTAAATTTTTCAATTTTTTTTGCCACACTGCGGCAACACCCGGCCTGTCGACAATCCATGATTGTAAACTCATCCCTATTTTGGCGGGGAAATGCGATGCATTCTGGTATACAGTGGTTCAAGCAGATACGATCTAGTAAATATTGGTTCATCATTTTAATGAAAATTCAATGCAAGCGACTATATTTGGATTTTCGAAATATGTTCGCCTTTTTTGAGCAAATAAAATATTGACACCCGACCAGACATGGGTTTTAATTAAGAAATGATCGTTTGCAAAATTTAACTGGGTAGAAATAATATTTTAACTTGTCATTCAATGCTAACTTTCAACACAATTCATGCACAGGCGATGCTATGCTTAGAAATGATCTCACGTCTATCAAAAGAGCTGATGTTCGCTGGATATACTTTGTATATATAACACCAAGCACACTCTGGTCGAAATTACTCGAGATTTTCTACATCGAAAGATCCACAATTTCGAAGTAAATCAAGCTGTCAAAATATATATCGCGTGTATGCAGTTCTTGCAATTTGCATACATGCATGCACGAACAATTACCAATGTTCCAGCTATTGTCTTGTAATTTGTTTTTATTCAATTATCACCAATGTTTACTGCACATTGACAGACAAGCTTTAAAGAGCAATGGCATTTTACTATTTGCTACTGACCGCGGTTAAAATATTTCCCAGGTAATCATGACAATTCTTTACAACAACGTCAAAACTAAATCAATATTTGCTCAACCATCGCGCGGGGTTAATGTATACCTTCGCAGAAAAAAACCCATGCGATTGTTAAAACACACAATTCAATGTTATTGCAAACGTCATATTTTTAAACAAGCTGGTCGAAATTTGCGAGCTTTTTTATCCATTGCCTCCTTACTAAATCCAAATTCCACGTTTAATCCAGGCCGTCTAAACTTGATGATAAATTTAGGACTCAGAGTGGACGATAAAAGCTATATTCATTACGTTACGTGCTTGAAATTTTTGTATGTTTTCGTAACAATAAAGACAAAACATATATATTGGACACTCGATAACTTTAAGGATAAGCAATTTACTTCAACACAGTTTTGCGTCGATGTCGGCTGGTTATGCTATCTTAAACCTTGCAAAATTCTATGAACTTCGACATATAAAAAGTAATCTTCAAAATGAATCTATCGAACTGAAAAACAATTTAAGGTATTCTGTATTATTCTGCATTTATGCACAATGCTTTGTGATCAATATTTTCCCTGTTTATTTTACACAATCTTTACTGACTGTACAAGTCTTCACCGATGCTCGGGGGGAATTTATTGCGTGTGCAACCGACATTTAAGACTGTTAATATAATTCAGTCAGTATTAAGCTAGCGTATTAATTTCACTTGTCTAAGTACTATAGTCTGAAAACTCGAGAGTAATTATTTCCATGGCAATTGTATCAATATTTACCAAACCACACTACTGTGTTAATGTGGTTTTGGCTGCATGAGAAAACACGCCACCATTGGCAAAAATACCAATTGTGTTTACTCAACAATTAAACCACCCATGTTGATAGTCGAAATCCCCCTGTGTTTTCCAGCAAATTCGTATCTAGACACGCGTCAAAGGGACCCTAAAACATCAATAAATCAGTTCTAATTTGCTATTATATAACAAGGCTAGGGTTGATTGCTCAGAAAAGATAGAGGTATATAACTTTTCAGTTTTTGGCTTGGTAAAAGATGAGATTTGCTGCTTCTAAACCCGTCGTTTCTCTTAATTCTACCCGTTTGAAATTCTTGTCAAAAGAGTAGAATATATATATAAACCTTATTAATTAATGGCGCTTTATACGTGCGGATCGAACACACTTGGTAAATAGCCCACTGAGAAAATTACCTAAGGCTAAAGCTAACAGGGAAGTTCACTTTAAAAGGTTTTCATCCATTAGTTCTGCTTGAAAAATCCTCGGCAAAAAGGTTTCATGTCCTGTCTTGTTCATGAAAATCATTTTCAATGAAGCTTGCTGCATGTACATACACAACCTTGCTCCTTATAGTTTGTCCAACTCATAAATAGTGCATTCATGGTTCCATGAATATAGCTACTCTATACATAGATATATTTAATCATTCCTGCGGTTTACCAAATATTGCCAATTCAATTGCCATGGAAATATAGTCAATAATAATCATATGTACAAGCAGGTTTTTAAGATAGAAGATAAGTGCGTGAGTGATATATATTTAAACATTGCATGGGGCTGACAGTATCTATAGGAACGTTTTCGACACAAACAATTGATTAAATCTTATTCTGCATCGAATGGTTTGACCGGAATCTCACAACGATATTTAAAGCTTTGATAAACATGGAGTTATTAGATTATTTGATGTGAAGATTTGCGTTAACCCCGGTTAAGCTTGCCGGCTTTTGAGCAACGACGTTTCCAGGTTTATACGAATGCATATGCATGGAGTGTATATTTTTGTAATTGCATAAAAAATAGCGAGGTTTCTGTGTGGATCGAGTCAGACTTTTATCTCAGCAAATGTGATCATCGTAAAGATTAATTTCATCCCATAATTTGGCATTCCCCGTTATTCGATGTTGTTGGTAACTGAGCAACTTGCCATCGAGTTTTGATTATGTTTGCATTATAATTGGGACGTTAATTCAGACTCACAATGTCACTATATACTGTATATGTCGCGTATAGCCAAATGCGTGGGTATACTTGGAAAGTATACCAATCTCATTGTCATTTCGACGAAGATTAATTTTCTATATATGCGTATAATACTCGACACTTTTCAAATTCAGGAAATTGAGTGCTGTCGTATATATATGTTGTCTTACAAGAGCCTCTCATTAAGATCATATCTTTTTACAAAAAAAAAAGGGAAATTTGTCCATTTTTTTTCAAAGGATATGTTTGTCATATAAGCGTTAGAAGCATGCAATCGCGAACGATAAATCAATCTTTTGAAAAATATGGGCAAATCCACAACCAAGATATCTACGTTTTCTGTCCGTTTTTTTTTTAAATGTCTATATGTGGGACGTGCTAGTCGAAATATGAAATTTTAATATATATTCTGATCATATCAGCTGGCTACGGCCGCCCGAATCGAAACTCTCTGGCATAAGTGTATTTTTATAAATATACTTTGTTTAACATGAATGGCAGCACGATTTTATATCTGCAGATTGTGATTTCACATTTATGATCGACATGAATTGTGTATTTACTTTGAAAAACAATTATTAACAATGTAAACAGCAGTTTTAAACGTTTCTAAATTATATTGCGTGCATGCTGCAAAGATGCATCCTTCATCTTAGCAACAGACGACTGTATATTCTATAAACACAGCTTTTTTTCATGGAAATATCTAAATTAAGGAATTTGAAAGTGTCCCAATGCACGAAACCTTGATTGAAATAAAACTGACGCGCGTATATAATCCCTTTTACTCCGGCTGCGCAATTATCTCAGCGTCAGGGCTGAACCACAAGACAGCAGAGCTAATATTCAGTTAAACATGTTTACAAATTTCAAATCAAGCCTCAAAGCGATCCGAAATTGGGAATAATTAATTTGGGGAAATAAAAGATTGAAATTTTTCGCACTTTTTCCCGTCTATTGTGCTGAAACAATGTTTAAAACATGACTATAAGTAATTTAATCCGCATTTAAATATATAGCTAGTAGCTCCATGGTCTCGTTTTTGCCATAGCTGTTCCACAAATCGCCAAGGTGGGCAGGAGTTTGCGGTTGAAAATATGTTTGTATATATGCTGTCTGAACAATGCAAGGGGATTGTTCGAATAACCGAGACTTGAAGTCATCGTAGTTTACAGAATGTGTTTGCCAGTTGCAATTGTGATATATATTTGCTCGAGGCAATGTTCAGCCGACATGCTACGTGTAAAATTTGAAACTTGAAAAGTATTTCACACTTAACGGTTCTGAGACAGACGATTGGGACATGAGCCAAGTTTGAAAAGTTATCCATATAAGCTAGATGGTATTGAGTCATATAAAAATCCGCGTATAAAAACACCCTGATAAATTGATCTCTTTCGTATCGTTACGTTGAACCAATTCACCTTTGACAATCAATTTACTCATTAATTTTTCGCAAAGTCATATGCTGTAACTGATATATCACTCAAAATGTTCCCCTGATATCCTGAACCGAAACTAAACCATTACTTTTTTTGGTGTAGGGAAATTTTTCAACAGTTTGCAATTTTTGCAATAATGTATGAACTATGAACTCCTTTATTAGTTTAATACTCTTGTTTTTGGATGCCAAATAATCGCGATATTAAAACCAGAAACCGCAGGTCACCAAAACTAATACAATTCATGGCAATTATAGCTAAAACTTGTATTCGTAGATACAGGCTTTTGAACGGATTTAGCCGACTTTGTGAGTCTAGAACGCAGTTCGGGCATGTCCTTCCAATAATATATGTGTAGACAGTTAAATAGAAAAACAAATTATTATCGGAATAGATTGTGATAATTTTCTCGAAGCGCTGAGATAACAATTAATCTTTTAGCAAAGTTATCTTTTAACTACCAGCTTGTGTTAGTCCGTATCGAAATTCCACGCATAAAAACATTTAAGCAATTTTTTAAACACACCATGCCTTCTTTAATTTGTACATTTTGTACACAAAGATAATGCATGTTAATTTCGAACAAAAAGCCGGCTGATTTTTCCGCACCGTCTTATTTATCTTTTGTAATACGCGGCACAGCAGTTTTTGCGTAAAACGTGCTTGAATTTTGCCCCTCAGGTTCCGGTTAAGTATTGATGAAATTTTTCATCCCACCTTTCAGTGCCTACATATATATTTCAATTCAAATTGATTGAACGTTTGATGGCATCAGCTAGACGTATGTTTTAAGACGGACCCCCAACCACGCCACGGCGTTTTTGTGAATATTCAATGAATGTGTTTATAATATAAAGCTGTGTAACGTTTTATCCCAAGTTATTCACAGCTCAAACTGTGTACGAGAATAACACTCGCAGCAGCTGTCACCGTTCATATTGTGATTACCTATCGAGCAACACAGAGGGTAAGTTTGTACTGTTAAACTAATTCGTACTGTGCTAGGGCTTTAGTCACGTCCAGGGCGAATTTATGGGAAAACATTTTTGTGGCATATCTGTCAAAAGTAATATTAAGCCTCATCCAATCTCGAGCAATTTCGGGTCTGTACTTTACCCATTTAAATTAGAGATGTCGTTTTGTGTTTGCATTAGCAGTTCGCTATCAGAATAGAAGCTGTCAAAGAAGGGTTAATATTTACACTTGCCTTTCTCTATCGTTGACACTACAACGTCGGTTAATTGAACCTAGTAATGCCGAAGACTTGAAAAGCAAACAGGCTTTTTCATCGAAAGAATGGCAGGCGAAAATCACGCGACACATCTTATTAACTTTGAACAAATGTTAAATAGTCCACACAGGGCGATCGAAATGCCTTCGAAAGCGTTTAAACTTTGCTAATCCGGTTGCTTCCAAGCTTCGCTTAGAGATTTCTTTTGAGTCGAAATAATCCGGAATTGAAAAGGTCTCATCTCATTGTTTTCAAAAAGCCCTGCCGTGCAAGCGATGTTTTAAGATATTAAACGCAGCAAGGGTCTGCCTTTCAAATTTCCATTAGCTTGCACGCTAGCCATCTGCTGTGGCCACAAATTATACACTTCAATGTAAATTCAAAGCTCTTCGCGGCCATTCACAAGAGTTTCAGCAGCGGGAAGTCTGGCTAATTCAAATGAGATAGAAATTATCGACTACTCAGCTTTGATTGGCTTTTGTCACATGCGGTTGGCTGTATCGAACGTGCGCTAATTATTATGATTAAATTGTCACAAAGGACGAACGCTGATTGGCCGAGCGCCCCCAGAGAGTTTATTTAGTTTGGGTAATCACTTTTAGGCCGCATTCAAACACGCTGCATGGGGTGAAAGCCTCGCGTTGCTTTCATCTCCTCAGAGCAGATGCTAGGGACGAAAATTAAAACTGCGCATAAACTCGGTAAAAATGACGCTAATGTCTCGTGTTGCGGTCTGCCCCAGACTAAATGAATGGTTAAAAATGTGCTCGCAAACACGCTCCCGTGTCAAATAATTCAAGCAGGCCTAGCAGATGCATTTAATGTTTAAACAAAAGCGATGTTTACTTCGCTGCATATCATTCACAGTTTGACACTGACAGCACAATGGAACTCCCATTTTTAATGTGAAAAACAGGAAAATTATCGATTTTCAGCAAATAGATCGGTTGGTGTTTGCCCAGAGTTTTGGAGTCGTGCTAGTTCAGCGACAGATAGTTCAACACCAAGTTTATGAAAGTATTTATACGCCCGTTCTACGCTTTCGGAAACAAAGGGCAGTTGACAGGGCTATATGTGACAGGTTTTAATTGAGCCTGTGCGCGCCGGCCATTGGATGAACCCGGCCTAAGATATTTGTAAGCAACCCCCGCTGAAAACTACGGCATATTGAAATCTCACTCGCTGGCTTTCAGATCAACACACGAGATACGGTTGGCCGTTCTAAAAAAAGGGTAAGTATCCAATGTTCATAAATTTGATACACGCGGGCTCCATATAATAATTCGAGGGTAGTATTAAAATATCACCCGCGATGCGATTGCCATGTAGTATTTTAATAATGCCTGCGCGGAATGTTGTGACCCGAGCGAACGCTTTTGAAAGGTAGGTAGGGTAAAAGCCATAAATCATCTCCACCACTTTACCATAACAACGGCATGGCAGGGCCGTTAGCTAGCAGCGTATTCTAGCAACGGAAAGGACTTGCTCTAGTGTGTCAAAAAGTGCTACGAGTCTGATTGATAGTGATCGATTACCTTTCTCACTGACTACATTATTAATGTCTTGCGCGATAATATAATAGCACACGCAGGGCCTCGCTCGTACGGGAAGAAATATTAATAACAGTGGGATTAATTAATGGAACTCGAACCTCTACTATAGAACTTCGCTCGCTGGTTGTCGAAATACCACATATATCGGACACCACGTTTTTACTTCACGTCGTTTTCTGTCTATCGTAGCGTGTAAGCCGTCTGCCTCACGAGAGCAAATATCGAATCGTTTGGTATATTAGCTCAGACGGGGTTCTTTCATGTTATATTAAATCATGTTTACGAGCGTACAACTCGAAGTATTTCGCTTCTGAGCGTGCGAATCGATCGACGTGGCTTGTACACCTTGACGGACTTCGCTTCGGAAGGCATTTTCTATCGGGAAATTCGGGCGGAAAAGCGTCGAACGAACGAGGAGAAATATGTTCCCAATACTCCGGTAATACATATTTTCTGTGTGTTCAAGTTTGATACAGATTACGATGGGGGTTATGTGGTACTTAGAAGCGGTCATCGTGTCCTTGTGAGCGACTTAACTTGCCTTGCTCAAACCCAGTGTCTCAGAATCGCAGACAAAAGCGCTTCAAATTTGATCCGGAGACGTCTTTTCAGTCAAGCAAAACCAAACAGGGCCGATCATGGCCGCGGCTAACTCCGTAGCGTGTGTCGCGAAAGCGTTTATTTAGCACTTGTGATGGACATTGTTGCAATACGGTCGCGTAAATCTTGCGTTCGTACGAGGTATTTACTGTTACAACTGCCTGAGTACGCCTGGCGCCGAGCATTCTGGTAAAATGCGACATAAGCCGAACACATTTTCAACAACTGAAGTCGTTTTATTTCTCGTGTTGACATACGAGAAAGGAGCTAAGTCGCTTACATGTTGCTGGGATTACGCGCACTCGCTTAGGATTGCCGTATCCTCAGACATAATGTGCTTGTATGATTCTAGGCACGGTTGTGACGCTTCCAAAGTCATCAAGTTGAGAGCGTGAGCTCGTCGCAAGTGACCGGGAAAAAATACAAAGAACTACGGCAGTGAGGACTCTGTAAACAGTGTCAGTGATGGCCGTTCTAATGGCAGCGTGGTTCTTTTATGCTACACTGTGGGTGCTAAAGAGCGCGATATTGGTTCATAGTGAAGGTAACTAAACATATCTGAACTATTCGCTATAGACTATAGTATCGATACTTCGCAACAAATCGACATGGTCTGTTGCAATAACCGTGTGAGTGAAATATGATCGCATGTGTTTGTGTTTATTCTCAGCTCCTTATTTCCCATGGAATGCACGAAGCCCTGAGTATTTTTCCCTTTTTTTTCGTGCTTAAAGTTCGCGGGGACGCTTTACCGGTTCTGCCAAAAGGACCCAAACAAAGTTCTTCATGTAATTATAGAAGTTTAAAAGCGTTCCACTTCAAATCGCTAGGGTAAAAAAGGGTTCCTTTCCGATCACAAAAGCTTATTTGTGCCTTTGCCAATATGCTTTCTTCATTAAACATGTGGTTTGTAGCCATCGGCTGCCGAAACCGTCTGTTTTTTGCACCGCAATTTCTCGCGTTTTCCGTCAAAATTTACCCACCGATATAACGGCAAAATACTACGATATAAATGGCCTAGTAATTGGTAGTACGATAGGGTATTTGATATACCAGTCTTCCGTTGCGTGTACGTAAGATTTATGGACTCATGACAGGACATGCTTTGCCTTCAACTTATTTTATTCCGGAAATCATAATAATTTCAAATTGCGCGCTGTATTCTAATCTAAATCCAGAGCAGAACAATTTTGTACAAGTAAAATATCGCTTTGGTTTTATTCGAGTCGATTAAAACGGCGCACAGCAAGCGACAGAAAGTGATTGAACGTGAGGGAAATTTTGAACGAAATCTTCACAGATATTTTCCGCCTTCTGGGCAGATTGTTGTCATAGGGTGTTCATGTTAAGGTCTGAGTGTGCCTAAGTGTTTCTAAAGTCAACTTGGAATTCAAAACCTTTTCCTAAAGGTTTCGACTGAATATAAACGACGTATATTGGGACTGTTAATCTATACTGAGCAGGTCGTTGTTTTTGTTTTCGTGCCTTGCATGATTTTATACAAAGGATATTATGCCCTTTCACATCGCTGTTCGCTTTTTTTCCTCGTTTATATTCACGGCTGTTTTGCAAGCAATATAGAAACCGCACATTTTTCGAAATGAGCCTATATTGATTCAGATGGCCTGCTGAATTTACGGCAAAGTTTAATATATTCGCGATACGAAGTGTTGTTTGGCGATGCATGAAAACTTGCCTCAAGCTAAAACTATTAGCCATTCAAGCCTGTCTGCAAAACAGCTTATTTTTAAAGGATTATGTCAAAAAAATTCGCAGGGAAATAGCGATTTTAGGGGATAACACTGATTTGTGGGAACGTTGACAACGGCATCGTAAATATATACGCTTCGTGTTTTATCTATAAATCGACCTCGAGTGGGGAGCCATTATATTTTTTTTAATGACAAAGAAAACACAAGCTATATTTCGTATCTTATGTTGTGGTATAGTAAGACTCGTGAAGCATTTAAGTCCAGCGACTTCGCTTTCTCGTTTACGCCACCCCAGTCGCAAAAGCAGGCTGGATACGTGAGCCAACGCATTTCGAGGATAATTCTTTATGTCGTTACTTGTTATTACCTTCGTTTATCTGCCCGCGATATCAAGCTTGCTCGTTTCGTAATCAGATTCTCACATCGCGCCAGGTCAAACCGAGTTGACCGCATAGTATATATGTGCACGAAGAACCTAACTCATAGGTTTCGTTCAGAGCAGATCGCATGTCCTAACCATGCAACAAACCTTTGCAAAATTGGCTGGCTTATGCTATACATGTATACGCACAATTGTATTTGAGATACACAGACGTACATTAGTGTATATTTAGCAAGCATTGTTCAGGGACAATAATACCTACCTCACTGGGTCACGCGATTTCACGCATTCATCTAAGTTACAGAGAAACCTTTGAATTCGGGCGTTTTTAAGTAAAACATCGTTAATTTCAAAAGCAATTTGCTTCATTTGTGAGTAAATTGAAAACTCTATCGAAGAAATTAAAAAATAGACAACAGGTATATCTAATGGGCTTCGTTCCTAACAACACAAATGATTGGAACTTCAGGTGTTTAATAGATTTTGAGTTCGTTTCCTAGTTTTTAAAAGCCTCTCATGTTTTACGTGGATAAATATACTATACGTGCAAAAAGCGTGTATTTTTGTAATGAATTGAGTCTTAGATTGATTTGAGATATCAGCCTTAAGGAAAACGGGTATATGCATGCATGTAAACATCTTCAGTGTATATTCAAACGTGAATTGTGGCATTTGCATAATACCTTTCGATTATTCTATATCCATATATACATATTTTAGCTGCAACACAGATGGTCAGGCAGGCATTGTGTATATTTTGCAGGAACTCCGCCTATATAGTTTTCAAGCCATCGAGACATTTTGAGCTGTTAAGTAAAATTATACAAAATTACGATGATGATGCATAAGGGTTAATAGCATTAGAGCCATTGAAATGTTCACTGATTTCTCAAGGACGTCTGCTGCAATTAACTTCATACTGCCAGTCGTAAATAGTCTCGAGTGTTTGTATGTATGCATGCTTATATTCTAGCAACGTACTTTCGTATTTATGTGTAAGCCAAGATGAGTTTCACCTAAATTTTGTTTTGACTTTGCCTAATGCGTGCAACTGTCTTTTTTAATGGTAAAAAACAGCAAAGAAAATAGGCTATTTGGTCGTGCGAGAAATTTATGTAAAATTGTCGGAAATAGATGTTAGAACGATCTGGTTTCATTTGAATAAAATTCAGACAAAATGTTAAACGGAGGATCATGCATGTATTGGCCTTTTAAATACTGAAAGCTTTAAGCAATTTGCATATTATGTTATTGGTAAAAATTGCTGCCATATATATATTGTATAGTTATTATACTTTTGCTGGAAACATAAAGTTATTTTATGCTTTTAAGGTAAACGATTCACCCATTTTTTCGCTTTGCAATATATTTATATACACAAAAGGCTTTGTCATATATCACAGTGTGGTCATATAGGCTTAATATTACAAATACCAATACAATGTTAAGTGAAGTCATATTTTCTGAATAATCTGGAAAGTTATTGATGCTCTCCAGAGAAAAATAATACCGTTGCAAACTCTGTTGGAGAATTTTATCGACTATCCGCGAATTTTCCTCTTGGAACACAAATTCGTGATATTCCAAATCCTGATTTTATAATACCTTAATTGTAAATCAGCTTACTACCCTATTGCAATATTTCTTCGGGTCAAACAGCTTTGTTCTAACCGCCTGATTAATAATCATTATCGCGAAAAGATTTAAAGTCATATAAAGTAGTCAAAACATAATCTATGCAAGATAGCTCGCGGAATGTGAGATCTCTTACCGACCTAAATACCGTGTATTGCTGTATACAAGGATTATTTTTTATTTAATAGCGTAAGGAATAATTTACATTCCTTAAGATGGGTATAGATGTAAAAATTATAAGCATATCATATGCTTCCAAGATACCAAACTCATATACGTGCTTGACTTGTGAACTTCAAGTTCAAAAATCGTAAAAGAGTCCTAATATTATTGCTTGCGTGTAATATGATACCCAGGAAAAGCGACTAAGATTTCAGATAATTTCACTAATTGAAATACTTGTTGAGATTAGACGCCGTGGAAATTGTTTTCGCGCTTTTTTCCCGCTCGATTTCAACGTGAATTCGCTGTTTTCTAAGCGCTATAGTTGTTGAAAACCAACAACATTGCAAAGGTCGAGTGTTTTGAATGCCAATATATTCGGAAAGTTCAAAAACAAACGCTGGTTCATGCAATGCCTGAATATGGGAACTGATTATTGCTTGAATAGGGTATTAATAGGTAAAAGCACACAAATTTAATAACTTTGATTAACAACTACATGAAATGAATGAGTGAGTGTTGTTTTTATGGAGATGTTTCAAATTTCCATACTAGGGTTTGTCTTCAGAGACCTAGCAATATCTCGTAACAGTCTCTCACCTTGAAAGTTATTACGCAACCTGACCCGGGCTGCATCTATCGCAAATTGCATTTGTAAGATTAAAAACATGTGTAAAAGGTTGACATTGAAGATTTCCATATTAAAATCTCGTTCCAGGCTTTCGAATATGAGGTAGTTATTCGTGCTTGGCTTTTTTAAATCCACTTTTCTAGCAAAATATTTTATTGGATTCAATATATTTTGCTCAAAGGCACTGAAATAGCTCAGCTAAAACACGCGAAGCATGTCCTTGTTAAAATATCATATGACTTCGGGCATTTTTATTTGATGTTCACAATCTTATAAAATCTATTCATTAAGTGTCGCGATGAATAACTATCCCACCCCCAGCCCAAATTAATTTCCCTTTAGATTGTGAGGTAGATTGCTGCAATAGGACATGTACAACACGAATATACACCTTCCCCCAACTGAATATTCAATCCGTGAAGATGTTTATTCACCTAATCCAATTTGAAAGATCTGGAAACAATTATCAAGTAGGGGTAACAAAACAGTATGAATGAAGCTCAAAAGAGACCATGGTATTTTTACTGTAAACATTGAGTTTGACATTTGAAAGTACCCCTCGCTGTTCTCTATTTTTGTTTCCGATGTGGTTCCTTATGCATCATTTCCTTTTGAAATTACGTTTCCGTGTTAAAACGTATGAAACTTGAGAGTTTTGTGTATTATACCGTGTAGACAGACCGGCATAAGTAATATAGGACGAAACATATAGTGCCTGCATAGGATTTCTTGTTGTGTTTCCATGGCAAAATCGGCATCCTCAAGGACTGTTTCATTTTTTAACCTTCATGAAGTCAAAAATCGTACATAATTTGTAATTTTAGTTTGAAAAGCGGCCAAATTTGAAGTGTTTTGCCCGAAGGCAGTTGTGGTTTTAGAAAGTCTAGAAGTACACGTATTTTGGTGTCTAATTTTGGGGCGATTACGTTATTGCGAAAAACATTTCTACATGCATTTTAACAATAACAAGATTTTGTGTGGGAAATTCCTCTAGCATTTTTGCAACTGCGGGCATTGATTTG